ACAAATATTATTGATATTAAAAAAATAGTCCAACAAACTCTCGCGCCCATAGCCATGCACACACTTATTTTCTCCTAGAAGGGCATTATCTTTGGGTGGGGTGGGGCGGCAACAGAAATGTGTTTTGAGCCGATTCACTAGATAAATGGGCCATTTACTAAGGGATTTTCAGAAGAAGAAAATCATGGGCTGAAAGGCGTTGGCCTACGTATGGCCCTATTGAAGCTTTGTCACTACCTCAACCGTATCACATTATGTATTTTTTGCCATTGGTCCCATATAAAGTATGTAGCATTAGTTATGCCTTTCCTCTTTCCGACCTCCACCCGCCGTCGAGTCATTGTTCACCCCAAGAATTTCATGAAAAGGAGGACGTTTATTTAATAAGATTAAAACACGGTAACAAAAAGATATGAGAAAACGCTCAAGTCATTTAGCGAAAACTAGCTAATGAGAAGAAATTTTATCTACCTCATTCCCATGCACATAAGTAAAAGTTCAAATTAGTGGCCATCTAAATGGCCGACTAGCCATAAATTCTACTCCCTCTGTCTCAGAATATAAAAACGTTTTTGACACTAGTATAGTGTAAAAAACGTTTTTATATTTTGGGACGGAGGGTATTTAACATGGATTGTTTCCTCCCATTGATTGACAAAGTTTAAGGTCTCACTTTAGCATAATAGTTTCTTTTCTTTTGTGAATAGTATAACTATCAAGTCCAGTGACTAATTATGTAAATATATGTGTAGCAGAGAAATTAGGGGTCGAGGAGGTCAGCCACTGTGGAGTTTGTTGATTCCCCTCGTCCCCCCGGTCATGATGTAAGAGAGACGTGGGATTTTTGTGCGTATTTAGAAGTTTTATTAGCATGATTTATATAATCTTCATTGCTAACACCTTGGTAGAGGGTCCGATACCGTCGAGAATAAAGGTACTCTGGGTCTTCTGCTGTTGTGGTTGTCCTTTATCATGCAGTGCCACATAGCCATATTTTTTTTGTCTCTACGGGTTTGGTGTGTCTAACCTTGCATACATTAGGTTTACATAAGTGCGGATTCGTTCATATAAGTCTGACGAGTTTAAGTTAGTGTTTTTGTCGCATTTTTGTGATCCATTGTGACTTTAGAGAGTCAAACTTTTGGGGTTATGGCCAAGATCTTGTGGCTTGAATACATGTACCTCTAGGGGATCATACCCGACCAAGAATACAAATAGGCCGACTAAGAGGATCTTGTTGCCTTTTATTTTACTAGATTTGGAGCCAAGTTGTATCCATTTATTCACCAGACCAAGAAAATCACAACTTTTGATTCCATTCAGAAAAGATTACTCATAGTTCCCATCCTTTGGATGGGCGACTCAAGAGCATTTTTGAAACCTACGAATCAAGTTCATGCAGGTGTATGAGTGGCAGTTCGATGTGGATTTTGGTTTATATCCTTGCGGATTCGTTCATACGGGTTTGATGAGTACATGTTAGCGTTTACTGTCGCTTTTGTTGGTGTGATTTGTTGTGAGTTTGGAGTCCCTCTATTGACATTATGGTGAAGATGTTCTAGTTTTACCACATGTACCTATAGGAGATCATCCTCGACCTATGGTGAAGATGTTCTATTTTTTACCACATGTACCTATAGGAGATCATCCCTGACCTAAGTACTTTCATTCCTCATGGCTTACCATCCTTTTGGATTGGTGACTCAAGAGTATTTATGGAATATATGTAGTCAAGTTTGTGCAAGTATATGAGTGGCGGAGTACTTTCTATTATAGGAGTTACTTTGAATTTTCTTGGACCTCTCATTCAAAATATTATACTTGCAATTAACGTTGACTTTAAATTACACATCATTCTAAAAAAACATTGCAAAGATATTGGTTCAGTTCCGTATAATCTATTATTTCACGCATAAAGAAAATTCGATGCGCACGAGGGGTAGTCATTAGCAGAAGAAATGATTTTTCAATTCTCCTATTTTCTTGATGCAATAGAGTTTACACCACGTAAAAAATATTATAGCCTCTTTGGGTTGTAGGAAATCGAAAACACGGAAATCAAAAATACACATGATCGAGATGCCAGTGCTACGTATTCCTACATGGTTTCAAAATGAAAAAAGTCCATTTTACCCCCTCAAGAAAATGGGTTGTTCGCATAACCCCCTAAACTTTTATTTGGTTCACTTAACCCTCCGGTCTATCCCAAACCGTTCAGAAATCGTCATTGGTGGGTTTGCACGGGTGGTTTTGTTGATGTGGACGGCTCAAAGCGGTTTGTTGACTAGTGGGGCCCTCCTCTCCTCCCTGTCCCACATCCACAACCATCCGAGAGTGCATGAGCCTTGGTCGAGGGCCACTATTGTCGTGCACGCGTCCGGAGGAAGCATAAAGCCACGACAAGATGTGCGGAATATCTACCTCGTTGCCCTCTTGAACTCTCAGCTCCGCCCAATTCATTGTGCCAAGCCAACCCCAATCTAGCCTCGCATTGTCATCTTCCTCGCCACTACTGCCAGTCGTCGCGCCAAAATTTGCCATCACTAGCGCGCCACCGGCCTCCATGACCCCTTCCTTGACACGGGACCACCTCTCGCACCTTCTAGATAGCTTCCCGGTAAGCTCCACGACCCTAAGCCCCTTCCTCACAAGGTTGCGCTCTGACTGCGGCCTCGACGTCCATAGCGTCATTGTAGGGCACCCTCGGTCTCCCTTGGTGGACCAACACCCCCTGGGTGAGCCCTTGCTCCTCCGGAGCCTCTCCGTTCCCTTCCTCATCTTTGTAGCCTACTCACGTCGTGCGCCGCCCATAACCGCAGCGGGGACCGAAAGTTGGCCATGTGGGGAGAGGTCCTCGGGGACGTGCAACTCCAAATGGACGAGTCTGTCAGCTCATAAGCAGATGAGAAGAAGGGTTCGCCGGAGGAAGAGATCGAGGCAGCGGCATTCGATACTGGAGACGGGGAAGAAGACATAGGTGCTGGCGATTCACGGTCACTCAAAAAAAGTCCTTTGGCAGGAACGTAGAGTGGAGCGAGGGAAAGCTCTAGGACAAGGCTTTAAGGCAAGGGGGAGGTGTTGGCCGCGCAGGCGAAGGACTATAGCACCAGCGGCATAAGCTGAGCGTCGACGTGCTCTCAACATACATGAGGAGAGAGGGAATGCACCGACGAAAGGGCCTCGTTGGTCAAATACCGCCTTGACCGTTCCATGCCAGCGACCGAGCCTAATAAACCTGCTAGAGATGACTTTTAACGGTTTGGGAAAGATCAGGGGGTTAAGTGAACCAAAAATAATAATTCAGGGGGTTATGCGAACAACCCATTCTCTTCGGCGGAGTAAAATGGACTTTTTTTACTTTCAAGACATAGGCATTTGTAGAGAGTCGTCTTTGGATGCCGCACATGAGAAACACACAAATATAGATGATTGGTTAGAGAGAGTAGAAAGATAGAATGCAAGTGCATTGGATTTTTCAAAGTAAATAAAATAAAAAGAGGTTTAAGGTCATGTTGAGATATCTATGGAATAAACGCCGTAAGAATGGATTAATCTTGTTGATTGTTTAGCAAAGCACTGTTTTAGACTTAATTTATCTAAATTTTGGGACTTCAATGCTCGTGACTTTTTTCCACATATTGTAAATGACATGGTTATCATCTGAGGAACAAAGTTATTTATGTTCAAACAAAAAAAAGGGCGTAAGAATGGATTCCAAAAGAGATTGGTATTCTAACAAAAAAATGCTGACCAAAATCCCACGGTACAAAGTATTTCCTTCCAAAAAATGTACATGGATTTAAATCCTCCAATATTCTTATGAAATTTCTTCAATTCAAGAGGACCCTCACTATGTCAAGTAATCCACTTTTTCCTCTTCAACCCACATTCACATTTGGAGATAGTCTTAATCATCGTGTGC